AGCGCCTGCGGGTACCGGGACTCGGCGTCCAGCTCCACCGCCCGCTTTAGCACAGTGACGGCAGCTACGCCCCCGGGGTCCGGCCCCGTCCCGGGTTTGGCCATGATCCTGGGAACCCCGCTCCGCCTCCCACCCAGTCCGAGCTGGAGGAGTCCGCGGCGCTTCCGGGAGGCGGTCACGTGACTCCGACAGGCGCCGGCTCGCGCTCCGGGTGGCCCTGGCGTGGAAGGGAGTCGGCCGGAACTTTGAAAAGGGCAGCATTTTGCCCGGACGGTGGCGGCCGGGTTTGAGGGGAGCACTCGGTGGTGTCTGTTCAGCTTCCTGTCGGCGGGGAAGTTGGGGCTTCGCAGCGTTTAGCGCCCGTAGGTGAGTGGGGGATGCGTGGCCCCAAGTGTGGCGGTTTTGCCGGGCGTCCCCAGCTGGGAGCCCTGTGTAGACGCGGGTTGATTTCCCCCGTTTGCGTTGATGGGTCGCGGGACCGAGGCGTGCACTGGCCGGACACGGTCCCTTCGGCGTCCGGAAAGCCGGCGGCCGCCCCGATCGCGCCCCAGTGGGAGGGATTCCGGGACGTGAACCCGGGTTCGGGAAGCGCCGGGGTCGGGCCGCCTGGGCTCGCAGCTGGGGAAGGGGCTTCTCGTGCGGTTTCTCATTTTCGGTGCTTCTGTCTTTTCGGTGCTTCTGCCTGATGCATGACGCTGGCCTTCCAAGTGGGCATTCCGTGTAGTTTAATTTGTTGTTAATGCAGATGCAAACTTGCCTGATGTTTTACATGCTGCATTTTAGAAGGCGAACCTGCCGAAATGAGCAGATAAACGATTCGTCATTTTACTAAAAGCTGTGATTTTGCAACCGTGGTTTGGTCGCCACGTACCCGAAGCTGCTTGTGCTGCGTATTTTTTGCCAAAAGGCACTTAGGAGGCCTGCCTAGTGCTTGTTGGGCTTTAGGAATTCAAAGAAGAGACGCTCTTTGCCTTTATCATTACATAGATGTCTCTTTAGGAAAGGAAGTAGTTTGTTGTGTTTTTAAACAGAAACAATTACATGCATGGTCACTGTACAAGAGCAGCAATAACGATCTATTTGACATTACAGGAGGAAAAGAGGAAAAATTGCCCTAGTAGCCTGCCCACCCCCCAAGGGTATGTTAACATGTTTCTGATAGCCTCCCACACATTCACAGACTTTTTTTTTTTTTGAAAATGGGATTATACTTCTCATGTGATGCTTGTATTTTCCTACTTTCGCATTAGTACAAGAGACAGGTTATTATTTGAGGTGGTGAACACAATACAGTGTACAGATGATGTGTTGTGGAACTGTGCACCAGAAACCTGTGTAATTTTGTAAACCAGTGCCACCCCAATACATTCAATAAAAAGGAAAAAATAATAATAAAATAGAAACCCTTTGGATAAAAAAGAAAGAAAAGTTATTGTAAAATAGAAGGTATTATAATTGTTTCAAGGTCCAAGAGTTATGAAGGACAACCTTTATTAAAACTTAGAGCTCTTGACTATCACACCTTCTGAAGTCTGTTAACTTAAACTTCATTCATTGAGTAAAATTTAATTGATTGCCTGTTACATGGCAGGTGCTGCTTTAGGTGGATGCTTGGGATATATCAGAACAGACGGAACAGACCAAAAACAAAACAAAATTTTAAAATCCTGTCTTGGTGGAACTAACATTCTATTGGGTGGAGATAGACAATAAACCACAAACCTAACACATAATTAAATTATGTTAGAAGAGAGTTGCTATGGAGGGAATAGAGGAAGAGGGATCGAATGAGGCGAGTTGGCAATTGTGGTGTGGGTCAAAATGTTAAATAATGGAATCAGAGTAGACCTCATTGAGAAGATGAGATTTGAGCCAAAAATTGAAAAAGTCAGAGAATTAACCATATGAACATCAGGAGCAGGAACAGCCATTACGAGGGAGAATGCCTGCCTGGCAAGTTTAGAACCAACAAGGGGACCAATATGTTTAGCGATGGAGCAGAAGAGTAATTGGCCATGAAGTGTAAGGGGTGGGGGAGGGAGTGTGAGGACTGGCTATCACTCCGATGGAAATGGACAGGCATTGGCGGTTTTTCATTTTTTAATAAATAATTTTAGAATAGTTTTAGATTTTAGAAACTTGGGAAGATAGCACAGAGATTCTACATACCCCAGGCCCAGTCTCCCCTTTTAACACCTTCCTTTAGTGTAATTGATGAACCAATATTGATAGATTATTAACTAAAGGTGATATGTCATTTAGATTTTTTTAGATTTTACCTGATGTCCTTTTCCTGTTCCAGAATCCCATCCAAGATACTATATCACTACATTTAGTCATCATGTCTCCTTAGGCTCCTCGTAACTATGACAGTTTCTCAGACCTTCCTGTTTATGATGACCTTGACAATTTGGGGGCAGTCCGGTGTTTTGTACAGTGTCTCTCAATTGGAGTTTGATGTTTCTCCCATAAGAGTGGTGTTACGGGGTTCTGGGAAGAAGACCACAGAGGTGAAGTGCCAGTCGCATTCTGTCATATCAAGGATACATGCTATGAACTTGACTGTTATTACAGTTGATGTTAATCTTTCTAGCTGACATCATGTTGGTCAGGTTTCTCTAGTGCAGTGTTATTTCCCCCCTTTCTATACTGTCCTCACTTCAGGGGCGAGTGGTTTTGCTCGACCTCTTTGAGGAGGGAATAGCTACATAAACTATTTGGAATTCTTCTGTAAGGAAGATATGTTTTTTTTCTCTGTCATTAATTTAATTTATTCACTTAATTATGTCAGTATGGACTCATAGTTATTTTTTTTTTAATTTTTATTGTTAAAAGTATTACATATGTCCCTTCTTTCCCTATTCACCCCTTCTGGCCTGCTCCTGCCCCCTGACCCAGGCCTTCCCAACAACTCATGGTTATTTTACGGTTTGGGTTATAAGCCAATACTTCATTACTTATTTTGTTGCTCATATTATTCCAGCTTTAGCCATTGGGAGCTCCTTCAGTGGGCTCCTATGTCCCTTTGACATCCCTTATCATTTTGATTTTTTGAATGGTCCTTTCTAGCACTACAAGATGTCCCACACTCACCTTTGTATATCCCCTGCTGCAGTCATGTATAACTACTTATCCAAGGAGCTCTGGTTCCTTTCCTTAGAGAATTCTACTAGAAACTATGATCTAAGCCAGTGATGGCAAACCTATGACACACGTGTCAGAGGTGACATGGGAACTCATTTTTTGGGTTGATTTTTCTTTGTTAAATGGCATTTAAATATATAAAATAAATATCAAAAATATAAGTCTTTGTTTTACTATGGTTGCAAATATCAAAAAATTTCTATATGTGACACAGCACCAGAGTTAAGTTAGGGTTTTTCAAAATGCTGACATGCTGAGCTCAAAAGGTTCGCCATCACTGACCTAGGCACTGGGCATGCTCATTTTCACTGGGATGCCATTGCTATTAGGTCCTCTGAGCTAACAAAGTTAAACTATGTTACATCCATGTATATAATTGTGTCTATATCCATTAATACCTGTATTGAGCTGAACATGAGTTCCAACTCTAATCCTGTATCATTGGACCATAGGGATCATTCTAGCCGTCCCTTCTTATGTGTACCCTTCTCCAACAGTGACAAACCTGGCTCTTCAGAAGGTTTTGAGCAGAGGAGTTGACATGAGCTGATTTGGGTTTTAATGAGGTGATTGCTACTATGGAGGAAAGACAGGAAGAATGGAATGAAAGCAGGAAGGCCAGTTAGGAGGTTTGTGTTGAATTGTAAGTGATAAGAGAAAGATTTAACTAAGTGTGAAGCTAATTGAGTTGGGTTAGTATATAATGTTTAACTTGGAAGGCAGAAGTATGGTAGAGAAGTATGATAGAGAAAATAATTTAGCATTATTTATTTGATTGGAGGGCCACAGGACTAAGTATCTCTTCTAAGGAAGCCTTGATTCAAATCCTCCTTCCTATATAATAAAAGGCTAATAAGCAAATTAACCTAATGGCAGAATGACTGGTCGCTATGATGTGCACTGACCACCAGGGGGCAGACACTCAATGCAGGAGCTTCCCCCTGGTGGTCAATGCGCTCCCACAGGGGGAGCGCCATTCAGCCAGAAGCTGGGCTCACGGCTGGCGAGCGCTGCAGGGAACGGGCCTAAGCCGTCAGTTGGACATCCCCCAAGGGCTCCTGGACTGCGTGAGGGCTCAGGCCAGGCTGAGAGACACCCCCCCCCCCCCCCCGCAGTGCACGAATTGTGTGCACCGGGCCTCTAGTATGTATGTAAACAACCAACCAGCAAACAGTGGGTGATTTCAGCTAGAAACTGTTAATGCTGCATTGTATTGATTGAGGTCCAAAGTCATGCATCTTATCTTTCTGCTTTCGCTATGTATCAGTATAGTGAGCTATAATTGTTATGTGTCTAAATAAACATAACTTATTTAAGTCATAGAAGCAATGTATGTTTATTAAAAAATAGTTTAAAAAAGCACAACTAGCAGAAAAGAGCATTCTGCTTTACTTTTTAACATAAAGGTGTTATGATTTAGTGGAAATGCACTGGACTAGGTATTAATGGAATTGAGTTCTAGACCATATTCTTCCTGGATAGCTGAGTACCCTTGGGTGAACTTTCTGGGATTCATGTTCCTCCTATTTAACATAAGAGGGTTGTCAGTTCTAATGCGAGGATTTGGGATTCCTTCTGTCCCTTCAGCTCTTTAATTTTTTGTGATTCTATAACAAAGCATTCTTTCTCTGCCCTCATTGTTGGAGAAGATTTTTATTTATTTATTGATTCTTTGAGAAGATTTTTTAAATGATGGGCTTTAGTAGCCCCCATTGCTCCAATTTGTTGAATCCTCTGAGGCACTAATTCATTTGGTGAAAATGGGATGTGGTTCATGTATAGTCACTACCTTATGGTTTTGCTGAACTCCAAATAAAACATTTACAATAACTTAATTCTTGCCTTTATTGTATTAAAATAACCAAGGTTTTACTCTTAAACTTCAGTCAAGTTTACAATTAACTTGTTTCATTTTTGTAGACAGAGGGGGGATCTGTTCATTTTCAAGACATATTTGACCCAGAGATCTGTTTTCTACCCGGCACCGCCTCTGCAGAGTTCGGCCACTGCACTCATGGCCGGGATTTTGCGCTCGGTGGTTCAGAGGCCTCCGGGCAGACTACACGTAAGTTTTCATTTTCAAGAGTTATCTTTTTTTGTTTGTTTCTTTCTGCAAAATTTTTCTTTTTCTTTTCTAATTAACAAAACAGACGAGCAAGTTAAACTTAACTATTTTTATATATTAATCTTTTAATGTCGAGGGTTAATTTTGTTTATTTGTGATTTATCTGCTGTTATATCCCTAAACATTTAGAATCGCAAAAGGTCTAAAATTTTAGGTGGTGTTGTGTGTTTTTTTTCCCCCCTCTTCAATTATGAAAAGAGTGCATTTTCAATCTTAGGAAATTAGAAAAAGTTAGAAAAGAAGAAAAAACAGTCTCCCAGAGACCGTTCATGTTTGTATTGTCATGTATTTTCTTCAAGCCTTTTTTTAAGAAACTGTGGTGGTGCAGCTTAACCTATTCATGAGGGCCAGAGTCTTGATCAGGGGTGGGGAACAGTCTGCCAAGGCCTGTGAAACCATTAGGTCTGGCCCCAGCCAGTTTGGCTCAGAGGATAGAGCACCTTCTCTCATTGTTTGTGCCATCTCTGCAGTACAGGGAGGGCATGATGGGAATGATTATTGCCCATTCAGAGAGCAGTTTCCTGGAATGAAGGATTGGCACTGAGCCTTTCTGTTTTGCAGGCTGAGAGAAACAGGACTGGAGGATTATAGGAAGGGGACAAGAGATAGGAACTAGGAGTGATGATATTGTTGGGACTAGAAAGAAAAGTGGAAACTCATTTTGACTTTTCTTTTACATTGTCTTGTTGAAGGTGAATAATTGCACATTGTCTAGAGCAGGGGTTGGCAAACTGCAGCCTGCAGGCCAAATCCAGCCCACCACCTATTTTTGTAAATAAAGTTTTATTGGAACACAGCCACCTCCATTTGTTTATTATATTGTTTAGGCTATTTTTGCCCTGTAGTGGCAGAGTTGAGACTTGGCAATGGAAACCATATAGCTCCAAGCTAGAAATATTCACTATCTGGTCCTTTATGGAAAAATATTGCCAACCCCTGGTCTAGTAGTCTATATATAATTAATGTGGTTTATTTTATTTTATAATATGTTAGTGGTAAGATTCATGTAGCGGGCTGAAGTTAATGCTTAAAATATAGGTTAGGCCCTAGCCGGTTTTGGCTTAGTGGGTAGAACATCGGCCTGTGGGCCGAAGGGTCCCAACTTTGATTCCAGTCAAGGGCACATACCTTGGTTGCAGGCTCCTCCCTGGCTCGCGCCCTGGTTGGGGCGAGTGCAGGAAGCAAACAGTTGATTTGTTTCTCTCACACCAATATTTCTCTCTGTCTTTCCCTGAGGATTAAAATAAATAAATAAGCGAATGAATAAAATCAATAAAAACATTTTAAAAAGTAAATAAATAAAATTACAGGTTAGGTAAAAACAGACTTTTGTCACCCCAAAATTGATAAGGGTTTCTGCACTAGACAGTTCTAAAAAACTAATGTTTCATATTATATTTTAGACTGTGACAAAAGGTGTGGAGTCTCTCGTTCGTACAGATTGGATTCGTCATAAATTTACCAAGTCAAGAATTCCAGATAAAGTAAGAACAAGAATTCTTTGTTTTAATGTTACTATTTTTTTAAACATGTTATTTTTAGAAAGATAAAATAACTTGGTACACGAAATTTGTGCAAGGGGCTCGGCCCTCGCAGCCCCAGCTTCATCCGGAAGGTCGTTCGGCTGTCCAGTTTAATTAGCATATTATACTTTTATTATTATAGATTAGGGATGAGATCATTATGTTGTTATTTGGGGGTTTTTTGGTTTTGTTTTGGGTTTTTTTGGTGTTTTTTTTAGGGAAAAAAGGAGGTACATATAAACTATGTAAGTTGAAAACTTAGCATTTACGATTCTTCCTTTCTAGGTGTTTCAGCCTTCTCCAGAAGATCATGAAAAATATGGTGGGGATCCACAGCACCCTCATAAACTGCATATTGTTACCAGAATAAAAAGTACAAAAGGCCGCCCATATTGGGAAAAAGATGTAATAAAGATGCTTGGAATAGAAAAGGTATGCAAGGATTTTAGTCATCTTTAGCATGGTTTAAATTTGGCACTTTTTAAGCTTTAAGGAATATATTTAATATTTTTTGTTTAAATGTATTCTTTAGTGGAATGTATTTGGAAGTTTGATTTAGACAGAATGAGCCTTCATTAATTTTACTGAAGCATGGGACCATCTGTGCTTTTGAAATTGATCTCTGTAACACTATTTCCCTTTATTTGTAGGCGCACACTCCTCAAGTTCACAAGAACATCCCTTCAGTGAACGCGAAACTGAAAATGGTTAAACATTTGATAAGAATCAAGCCCCTGAAGTTGCCACAAGGACTCCCCACCGAGGAGGACATGGCTCACACCTGCCTCAAGAGCAATGGGGAGTTGGTAGTACGGTGGCAGCTAAAACCCGTGGAACAGAAAGCAATTAAGCCCTAATGCCAGAGCTGTTCCAGATTGAAAAGTGCAAATCATTTTTATTTAAAGATGTTAGAAGTGTTCTCATTAAAAAATATTTTAAATGCTAGTCATTTTTACTGACTAAACTTGGTGTGATTTTTTCTGACTATAGGCTTGGAGGTTTCCATGCTATTATGTGGTTGAGTTCTCCTCCCTTTGCCCCTAATAGTTTCACTGCAAATGGGTAAGAATGGCATTGTTTGAACATTTAGGTTCAGATGTCTCCTCAACAATCGAAATTAACTTAAAAAAGTTTTTTTGTTTTCTTGTTTAACTGAATTCAACGAGTTCTGTGAATGGCCCTGTGAGTGAGCGTTGTGTTGTGTGTTGGTGAAATCAGAGCTGCCCTTCAGGACCTCCCGTCTGTTCTGCCAGAGACCAGAGCTTCGGCCACAGTCCTTAAACCGTGGGCGCAGCTGGAGCAGCTGCTTTGTGCGGTATCTCTAAGTCCATATGTGGACTTGGCTTCATTTTATACTTAAATGTAATACCAAAAACAGTATTCCCTCATTATAAATCTAATTTGGCCTAAAGTTTACTGGCGTTCTTTGAATTCCTAAGAAACCTCTACCAACAGTTGAGGTTGTTTTTTAAAAGAAGGGAGAAATATTTTAGGGAGAATTGTTCCATTTCTTTTTTTTCTATTTCAGGTACCTGGAAGGTGGGGGGAAGTAAGATTCTTAGAGAGATGCAGTATTGGGCCATTCTGTTGATGATGGTGAAGAATCTTCAAATTCTAGTTACCCTTTGTTTTCCTTCCTTTCTTATAACATTTGGGCTGGGCAACAATAACATTGGCATAGTCATTGTTTGTGGTCCCAGTATCCATCCTGTCAGAGGTCTTTATGTTTTGGGGCATCAAGCAGAAGTGCCACCTGAAATGAAGCCAGAACAGATATCCCTAATAAATAAAGGCAATTACATTTTTAATTCGACAGTTAGTGAATATTATTGAAGGTCAAAGAGCTCAGTCTAACTGAAGAGACACCTATATGCCAAACAAAAGGTGTCCTTGCTGCATTTGGTTTGAGGACAATTGTGTACGTAAAAGTTGGCCCCTGCTAATTTACTGCCATTTCTTTTACGTTTGAAATATTAATGTTTAAAACGGAAAAGAACATAGGTTAATTTGTACCCAAATAATATAATAAAGTTTGGGTAACTATTTTTAACCTTAGCAGTCCGCAACTAGAGGAAAGGATCTAAATGTTAAGTTGAATATTGAGAAATGAAATTGTCTAGAAGATGAAAAGTCTAGAGCAGCGGTTCTCAACCTGTGGGTCGCGATCCCTTTGGGGGTCAGACAACCCTTTCGCAGGGGGCGCCTAAGTCCATCGGAAAACATAATTACATATTGTTTTTGTGATTAATCACTATGCTTTAATTATGTTCAATTTGTAACAGTGAAAATACATCCTGCATATCAGATATTTACATTACGATTCATAGCAGTAGCAAAATTACAGTTATGAAGTAGCAACGACAATAATTTTATGGTTGGGGGTCACCACAACATGAGGAACTGTATTAAAGGGTCGCGGCATTAGGAAGGTTGAGAACCACTGGTCTAGAGGGAGGATATGGACATAGGCTAGTGCATTGGTTTTCTATTGCTGCGTAGCACATTACCACAAACTTAGCTGCTTAAAACAACACATGCTTCTTATCTGACCCTTTCTGTGGGTCAGAAGTCTGCGTTTAGCTGGGTAGTCTATCCAGGGTCTCAAAGGCTGCAAAAAAGGTGTTGGCCAAAGCCAGGGTCTTGTCAGAGCCCTGTCTGGGAAAGGGTCTGCTTCCAAGCCTCTCAGGTTGGTGGCAGAATCCATTTCTTTGTGGCTTTACGTTTCAGGGCAAGTTGCTTTTTCAAAACCAGCCCTGGGAGACTTAGCCAGATGTGTGATGCGCCATTAGGTGATTGTGTAAATGCAGTCGCATACATTCCATTTCCATTGTTGCATTGCATTGCTTAGAAGCAAGGCACAGGTCCTGCCCTCGCTCAGGAAAGAAGGGAATGACCCAAAGGTATGCCTACTGGAGGCAGAGATCTCAGGGGCTTCCTTAAAGTCTACCTGTCCATCCCCAAGCTGTTCACAGGATGCCCCAGATTGGCATTCCTTTGCCTCATGTCATCATTTCAAAACCTGGTAAGGACTTCTTCCTAAGCCTTGTGTCTCTGGGAAAAACCTGTAAGAATTTTTATGAGTTTATTTGAGCCAAACTGATGACAATTGCCAGGAAGCAAAATCTCAATAGATTGAGAAAATGCTCCAGAGAATAGCAGTTTTGCACCTTATTTTATTCATTATAATCAAAGGAGGGGGCCTAAGCCCGTTTCATGAAATCCTTTGGTGACAGATTAGGGAGGCGGGAAGAAGCAAAGCAGGAAAATCTCTGTGCATAAAATGAATAGACACATACTTCTTTTACATTGGTGGGTATAGGATAGTTAACACAATAACAATGAGCGGTTTTGTGGTCTCTGCTCTGTGCAGTGAGGGATCAAAAAAAATTACTCTGATATTCCAAAGGTATGTTATTGTAGATGCAAATAGACAGGCTTGGTTAATGTAAAGATTGACCTTTGTAAAGGAAGATTCTGGTTTAGGAAAGATCAACCATAGAACTTGTATGCATATATGCATAACCCATGGACACAGACAATAAGGTGGTGAAGGCCTGGGGCGGAGAGGCGGGGTGGGCTGGAAGAGGTTAGGGGGGGGGGGGGGGGGGGAAAGGGGGACATATGTAACACTTTCAACAATAAAGATTTAAAAGCAGGGGGAAAAAAGGAAAGTTTTAATTTTAGACCATCCTATGTGGTTCTTCGGCCTCTGAGTTTGTAAAGCCTGCCATGGTCCTCTCCTGAGCTTGTCAGGTTTAGTGTATGGTCCCTTTTTGGTTCCCACTCCCCTACCTCCTCAATGGAGGGTCTCCTGTTTCCCTAGCCAGCCTCCTCCCAGGGTCCCCTGTCCCCCCTGCTCTGCCCCCTCCATGGAGGGTCTCCTGCACCCCCCCCAATCCTGCTCCCTTCATATATGGTCCCCTTTCCCCTTTGCCTTGTCCTCTCTCTCACAAGACAGGGGTGTGTGCTCCGGCACTAGTGCAAGGCAGAACTGTGCTCCCTGGAGAGTCTGCTAAGCATTCACTTGGCTGCTTCTATTATCAATCCTGTTGGCCATGCCTATAGGGGAAATTGGCTGATGTCAGAATTAGACTCAAAAGACTGTAGATATTATACATTCTCATAAAGAAAAATGTGGCCTTTATGCAATAAGGCTAGAATTCAGAGTGAGTCTCTTCCCCCATTCTCTGTTTCTCCCCTACTCTTACTGAGAAATATCTCACTTACAAAAACCTGGCAACATTGGGAGCCCCTCCTACAAGGCTCAGAGGCTTCATCAACCTGATTTGGAGACATCTGTAATAGTGTCAACAATAAAAATAAAGTTTTTAAAAAAGAAATAAGAAATGTCTCTCTTTTCCTTTTTATCTTGAAATCTGTTTTCTCTGATATAAGTACTGCAATACCCACTTTTCTCTAGATTCCATTTGCTTTAAAGATCTACCAGAGTTCAAAAATTGGTCTAAAAGCATGCATATTCTCCATTCTCTCTTCATTTTTTCTTTGACAGTTTAATTATATATTTAGCAATAATTGGAGGAAGCTCCAATTTTTACTCCCCTACTTCATTCAAAGCCTTGACTCTTTAGAGTTCTTCTCCTGTGAGGACCTTAGGAAGTTCACTGTCAATACTTTCCCTTTGAACTCAGTCACTAACATGATCTCAAGGCTAAGGGGCAGACATTAGCTCCACTTCATAGGTCAGCTTACAATACCCAATTTAGGAAAGTTTTCTCTGCAGACACTTGCAGCTCATTCCTTTTAGAGATAACTCCTGCTTTGTTCCTGCTAGTGTCTAAAATTATTGTAATCATCATCTTTCAGAAATTTCCCAGGATTTGGCACATCCTTGCTGGTGGAGAATGGGAAGCGATGTGTTTAATGCAGTTGACAGCAACACCCACTTTCTTTACTCATTATGTGCCTACTACAGGCCTAGAATAATGTGGGCACTGGAGAAAAAGCAATACTCTACCCTTGCCTCAAGGAGCTTGACCAGAAAACTAGGCAACATGGCTCAGAACATATCAACTGGAGCCTGAGATGGGTCAAATCAGAATAAGTTAAAGAAATCAAGGTGAATGTCTTCCATTATGTTAAGAATGGCTTCATGAGGGAAGGCAAGGGAAGGAAGAGATTAACTGAAGAATTTATATGCATATATGCATGACCTATGGACACAGATGGTGGTGTGGTGAAGGCCTGGGGCAGGGGGTGGGTTCAGGTTGGAAGGGGTCAATGGGGAGAAAAATGGGACATCTGCAATACTTTCAACAATAAAGATAAATTAAAAAAAAAAGAATGGCTTGATGGACAACAGGTATAGAAATTTTACTGATTGAAAGTCCCAGTAAAACCCCAGTCCTTGAATCTAATCTAGTACCTATAACTAGGTTATAAAACTCAAGCCATATTTTTTCCCTAACTTCTGAATTTTCTCACAAGAATTTATTTCCAAGTCACAAAGTAAATGAGAAAGTTTTTGAGTACATGAAACACAGAGTACATTTTGTATTATTTATTAATTATTGTATTGTTCTCCATATGAAAAACTGTAAACCTACTTTTGCCAACCCCTGTAGATACTGTCTTCATAAATAAGTGCCAACATTCATTCACAGAACATTTCTGTTACTACATCACTCACCACTGTAAGACGTAACAGTAATAATAATTCCCCTCAATAAGTTTCCCATTCACTATCTCTTCAATTATACCCCCTTCAATTAAGTGTCATTATGGAGTGTCTGTATTTTAAAATCTAACATACTAGGTGGTTATTTTATATTTCACCTTCACACTTACTGTCATATATGCTCTCCCAGAATCTAAAGATTGTCTTGGTCTGAAAGGAAGAGGAAATCCCATGATTTTTCTTTTTTTGAACCCACGAAGTCTTTAGTACATCTCAGATGCAGAATTGTTTAAATATACATAGCTTTGTAATTCCTGAAGATGCATTTCTTTTTCTATGGAGAACTTCCATTTACTCAGCATCCTCTCATACCTGAACCCAAATGCAATACAGATTTCATCCTCAATATTTTATGAGCAAAGTAGACATTGATACATATGTTGGATTTTTAATTTTTTCTGAACCTGATTCCAAATGTAACATAAGGTCAATACAGAAAACTAAAAAGCACAAAAAAATTAAATAGCCATAATCCTATCAACTATTAGTTAATTGTGGTATATTACCAATAATCTCTTTTATGTGTTCAATATACTAATTTTGTTTTAATAAAAGGAATACCAAAAGGGGTGTATACTAATTTGGAGCCTGCTTTCCCCATGTATGAATAGAGCAGTGTCTCACACTGATATTTTTTTCACAGTGCTTGCTGAATGGAATTCCATCCCATAAAGTTACCTACAATCAATTCCTTAATACTTTTGCTAGACACTTAGGGTTTATATTTTTTCCCCAAACACTACACCTTTGCTCACAGCTCTGATGATTTCTATGGGATAATCTCTAAATGGAAATGGTGGTTTGAAAGCTGTGTCCATTTGAAATCTTTTTCACACATAGTATAGTTATGCTAAAAACTAAAACTTGGAAGGTTCTGGTCCTGTCAAAATGTTCACTCACATTGGTTGATGTTTTCATTCTTTGCCAAATAATATGAAGAAAAATGTCAATCCCTTTTGTTTGCTCTTTCGTGACCATCACGTTGCTCTTTCTAAAAAATTAGTCATACAGATCACTACTCACAACTCTACAAAAATAAAAAATTTGCTCATTCTTACTCTTTTAGCATTGTTTGAGAGATTGTTTCACCAGAAAAGTTCTTTCTAACTACTTCACTTAACTAATTCCTAACCTTCATAACGCTGATAACATTCGTGGCTCCCAAGAATTTGCCCTCTAGTACACCCTTGTCTTTACCTTTTTCAAGCATGTAAATTTCATCTTCAATAAGTCATTTAGTTCCAAAATGGCAAGGGCCCCTAGGTTGAGGCCCAATATGCTTAATGGCACGGTGTTTAATAAATTACCTTCCCAGGGGTCCTCTCAAGGAAGTAGGGGCAGAGGCATTTACATTAGGGGTTGGGGGTTCAGTGGACAAACCATCTTAGTAATTTTGGAATCCTGCAGGCTTTGATGGGATTCCACCGCGGACGTTCAACCACAGCAATCTCAAGGATTGTCCCTAATAATGCCTGCTTCAAGCCAAATGTGAGCAAGGGCCCTGACACTACTGACAGTCTGAAGGCCCCCGGACAAAAGTGGAGCCCGAGGGATGCTGGCCCACTGTCTGCGCTCTGGGTTCCTATTTTCAGATCAGTGCGCTTTATTCTTCCATCCAGCGCTCCGGAAAAGACACAGAGATGCTGCCCCAGCTCTGGTTTCCTTTCCCGAGCTGCCAGCAGACCCGGGTGGGTTAGAGCCCAGCAAGGGACCAGCGCATCCCCCTCCCTTGCTAAGGTACCATGTCACGCCCACCTGCGGCTGCAGACCAGCCATTGTTGCGTCCGGCGTCCGCTCTCGAAAGCAAATGTTCACTGACCGCCCAGAAAATGATGGCGTCTTGCGAGCCACACAGGGCACCTCCCCGCCGCCCCGAGAGTCCCTTTTCATGGTGCTTCGTGGGGGTCATTTCGGTGACCCTCGTGCTCCTGCTGCCCACATCCTTCGGTAGGAGCCTGGAGGGGGCGTGCGCTCCAGAGTAGGAATTCTCTTGGCGGGGCGGGTGGAAGTTAGAATATGACATGAAAGCAGAGTAATATGTGACTTGTTTAGAGTTCCCTTGACTGGTCTCACCATCTGAGGTGAGACCCATCCAGGTTCCTCGGGGATCAGAGTAGATCTATCTTCTTTCTTAGATCCTTAACCTTAGAGGAGAGGCCGCTGCATTCTTTTAGCCCGTTAGGACTTTACTTGATGTGTCTCCACGTTATTTTCCATAATAGTTCTAACACATTTTTTTAGAAAAGATTTTCAAGCCCACAGGTAAACAAAAAGAAGAGGAATTCCTGGGGGTGACGGTAGAGGTGGGGGTAGGGGGATAACACGGGGGGAAAAAGGCTTCTTGGAAGAGAATTGAGTTTTGAATGAATTTCAAAAGAAATGGGGAATGATGCATACCTATATAGTGTATCTTTCAGACCTAAAACATTGATATTTGCTTCCTAAATTTACTGTTGAGTAAAAATCCAGCTCATCCCCCAACAAACCAAAAGCGATATTTAAAGCAAGGGCAGCACATGGCCCACTCCTAGGACCCTTGGGTGAAAGTAGGGAACAAGTCTTTAAAATCTTGCCAAGGCCCTAGCTGGTTTGGCTCACCGGATAGAGCGTGGGCCTGCAGACTGAAGGGTCCCAGGTTCGATTCTGGTCAAGGGCATGTACCCAGTAGGGGGTGTGCAGGAGGCAGCTGATCGATGCTTCTCTCTCATCGATGTTTCTAACTCTCTATCCCTCTCCCTTCCTCTCTGTAAAAAATCAGTAAAGTATAGTTTTTAAAAATAAAATCTTGCCAAGGACCTTTCCATTTATTCTGTACTACCCACCTGCTGTCAGGCCACAGTCCCTGGCTGTCAAAGAGATTAAATATTTTATTTTTATGTTCTTATTTTCTTATTTTTAGGTCGCTGTGGTGAACCACCACTGTACCAGTCTATGCAGTTAAAGGGTACCCCTAAATCTTCCTATTTACCTGGGGAGAAAATATTTTATGAGTGTAAACCAGGATATTATTATTCGTTGAATTATGTCCTCAATACCTTTTGTGAGAAAAATAGCACATGGTTCCCTGTTGATGAAGCTTGTTACAGTAAGTAAACAAAACCTGTCTTTTTTATGTGTGTGTGCTTGCTCCAGTGTTCCCTTTTTCTTTTCTTTTTTTTTTTTTAACACATATTTGGATTCATTTTCCACTATGGCAATGATGATTTTCTCATGGGTTTAGATAGCAAGACAGATTTTTAGGCTTCCACAAATCTTCCGGGAATTTTTTTGTAGGCAGTTGGTTGCCTGGGTAAATGCGAACTCTACGTTATATGGTTAACTCAAAAAAATAATATTGCGTGAATTGACAAGAGCAGTGTAGAATTTTTTTAAAATTAATTTCAGAGAGGAAGGGAGATGGAGAGAGATAGAAACATCAATGATGAGAGAGAATCATCAATCGGCTGCCTCCCAAATGCCCCCCAGAAGGGACTGAGCCCGCAACCCTGGCATGTGCCCCTGGCTGGAATCGAACCGAGGACCTTTCAGTCCGCAGGCCGATGATTTATCCGCAGAGCCAAACCAGCCAGAGCAAGCAGTGTAGAATTTTTATTTTCTTTTACATCTGTTTTGAAATTTGTATAAAAATGAATTTATACATTTTCTTTTAGAAAAAGCATGTCCAACTCCAAATGTGAAAAGTGGTAAAGTATATGACCCACAAGTGGGCTTTGAATTGGATAAAGAAGCTCACTTTTATTGTGATTACGGGTAAGTTGCTCCTTAGAGAAAATAAGGTAAATGTTACTGATTCCATATTGTTTTCCTTATCTTCTTTTTGTCAATATTACAGATGTTCCCCATTTTCCCCCAATCCCTGCCATGCCCAGGCCTTCCCACACTATTGTCTGTGTCCATGGATTGTGAATATATGCATATATGATCTTTGGTTAATCTCTTCCTGTCCCCTCCATCACCCTCCCCACTGAGATCTGTTATTCTTCCATGCCTCTGGACCTATTTTGTTGGTCAGTTTATTTTGTTCACTAGATTCCGCATATACATGAGATCATGTGATATTTGTCTTTCTCTAACTGGCTTATTTCCCTTAGCGTAATAGTCTCTGGCTCCATCCATGCTGTAGCAAAGGGTAAGAGATCATTCTTTTTTTACAGCTGCATAGTATTCTATTGTGTAAATGTACTACAGCTTTTTTATCCACTCATCTACTGATGGGCACTTGGGTTGTTTTCAGATCTTAGCTATTGTAAATAACGCTGCTATGAACATAGGGATGCATATATTCTTTCTGATGGGTGTTTGGGTTTCTTAGGATTTATTCCCAGAAGTGGGACTGCTGGGTCAAATGGCAGTTCCATTTTTAATTGTTTGAGGAACATCCATACTGTTTTCCACAGAGGCTGTACCAGTATGCATTCCCACCAGCAGTGTACTAGGGTTCCCTTTTCTCCACATCCTCACCAGCAGGTGTTGTTTGTTGATTTATTGATGGTAGCCATTCTGACAGTTGTGAGGTGATACCACATTGTTGTTTTAATTTGCATCTCTCTGATGATTACTGATGCTTTTCATGTCTATTGGCCAATGGTATGTCCTCTTTGGAGAAGTGTCTATTCAAATTCTTTGCCCATTTTTTATTGGATTATTTGTCTTCCTGGTGTTGAGTTGTATGAGTTCTTTGTATATTTTGGAAATTAACCTCTTATCAGATCTTTCAATGGTTTTGTAGTACATTTTGACATCCAGTATTGTGATCCCTCTAACCTTGTTCTTCTTTCTCAAGATTGCTGTAGCTATTTTGGGGTTGGTTTTTGTTCCACATAAACTTTTGGAATATTTTTTCTAGGTCTGTGAAATATGCCATTGGTATTTTAATAGGGATTGTGTTGAATCTGTAAATCGCTTTGGGTATTATGGACATTTTAATGATGTTAATTCTCATAACCAATGGACATAAGACACTGGGGGGTAGGGGAGGCCAGGGGATTGTCAAGGGTGGGGAAAAAAAAAAGGACACATATGTAATACCCTTTGTAATACTTCAAGCAATAAAAAATAAATAAAAAAATATATTAGATATCCTATAAGATATTGCATATAATTGACACACACACACGTGTGTGTGTGTGTGTGTGTGTGTGTGTGTGTATATATATATATATAGACATATAAATAATTATATATAATGCATATATATTAGTTTTCTAGGGTGGCCATAAGAAAATTCTATAGGCTGAGTGCCTTAAACCACAGAAATTTATTTTATTTGGAACCAAGAAGTCAAAGATCAAGATGCTGGCAGATTTGGCTTCTTCTAAGGCCTCTCCCTTTGGCTTGCAGTTGGCCACCTTCTTGCTGTGTCCTCACATGATCTTTCCTCTGTGACTGTGTCCTCCTCTTATCACAAGGATACCAGTTAGTAGATTAAGGCCCACTCTAAAAACCTCCATGTTAACTTAATCACCTTTAAATATCTGATCTCCAAATACCATCACGTTCTGAGGTACTGGAGGTTAGGATTTTAGCATATGAATTTGTTGGGGGGCACAATTCAACCTATAACAATACATTTTATATTAATCATGTGTGTAACCACAATTAATAAAGTTTGGTCATATTTGCTTTTTACCATTATTAAAAAAAAATTCTCTTTTTTAATATATTTTTATTGATTTCAGAGAGGAAGGGAGAGAGAGATAGAAATATCAATGATGAGAGAGAATAATTGATCGGCTGCTTCCTGCATGCCCCACACTGGGGATTGAGCCCACAACCTGGGCATGTGCCCCCAACCGGAATCAAACCTGGGACCCCTCAGTCTGCAGGCTGATGCTCTATCCACTGAGCCAAACCAGTTGGGATATTGTTAATTCTTAATGATGTTAATTCATGAACACGGTATATGGTTCCACTTGTCTGTATCTTCCTCTACATCCTTTTCCAATGTCCTGTAGTTTTCTGAGTACAGCTCTTTTACTTCCTTAAGTTTATTCCCAGATATTTATAATATAAGTATAAATATCTGGGAATAAACTTAACACTGAGTGGCCAGATTATTATGACCGGCCAGATTATTATGACCACCCCATTAGTACTTCATTGACACTTCCAAAATTACTGAATATTGAAAACTTCCTAAGCAAATACTCTCAAGGTTTT